ACCGAGGCTGTGGAGGGCCCAGTGGGGCAGCAGGTCCTGGCCCCCAGCAGCCTTCTGCTTGCTGCAGCCCCCCGCTCTGCCGCCGGCACACGCGGATCCCGCCGGGGATGCTGCGGCCAAGCTCAGCCATGACAATTTGGGTCAGAACCCCCCAGGCTTGAACCCCTGGGCACCACCAACAGGCAGCCGCCCCGCAGCCGGCCTGGGCCCAGAGCGTGGTGTGCCACAGAGCAGAGCCTGGCTCCTCCAGCTTAGCAGTGGAGCTGTGCCATGCGCACTGAAGATACTCGGTGATTTGAGACCTCTCCATCTGACCATGCTCACCTGAGCCAGAGCAGTTGGTACTGGTCAGAAAAGCACAACCCCTGGCACAGCCTCATAACTGCAGATGATTCTCTCAGGAGATCCTCCTCCCTCCCAGCTGCCGTGACAAGGCCTTTGCATTTTACCAGTAAATTTTACCAGTAACGAAGGAGCAAAGTAGTTCCTGCCCCATCACATTAGGGCTGTGCCCATAAAGGGGCACCATGGGGTGGCAGCAGGGCCCCAGAGTATGCAGGAACACCCTAGGCAGGAGCTGGGGCAGCTCCAGCCACCAGAAGGGATAGAACTTGGCATTTCAAAAGCCAAAACTAGAAACAAGCATCATTGCTGCTAGAGGAGGATGCAAGGTTTCCTCTGTGCATTGCACCTGGAGCAAGGAGTGAAGGGGGAACGCAACTCCTACAGAGCCACAGCCAGCACAAGGGGGGCTGACGGCCCCACACGAAAAGCTAAGGCACGGCCTGGCCTCTGATTTTAAACCAGACTTAGGATGTAAGTTCTAAGTGCCCCCTAAGTGACGAGGGCACAGAGCCAGCAGCCCTTTCGTGGCATCGGAGGGGAAGGAGGGAAAAAGAGACACAAACTTTAAGATGATTTATTCACACAAACTCACATCCCAGCCCCACCTCTCTCCCCAGAACAGAAAACACTGACTGTGACGTTTATGGAATGGCTCGGCTTCAGCTTTTCACAAAATCCTCCAACAAAGGGCGAGAGCACAACGAAGCACACAAGAACAAGGCCACACGCAAGCAGCCAGGCCAGGAAGAGCTCACGGCATGGCCCCAGGGCACAGCTCACAGATGCACCCTTCTCGGATGGCATTTAAAGCAAGCCAGCCAGGTCCTGGTCACCCCCGCGTGGCACAAGGACGAGCACAACCTCATTCTCCAACGTCAGAAGGAACAAGGTGGAAACGTGAGCTACTGCCGGCACCGCGGCCCTGTCCCGGGAGAGCCCCAGCAAAGGGAGAGCACCGGGCAGAGCCGCCCTCCACACCTGCCCCTGCACGCAGCCCGCTTTGGTTTGGATACAGCTGTTCCCTCGGTGTCCCAGGCCGAGGGACCATCTCTTTGGAAAGGCAAGGCAGGAGAACAGAGGTGACACCTGTCCTCGGGCTGGAGGGGGGAGCTTTCTTGGCTCTTTGGAACATCACAAGCATCACACCGCAGGCAGGTGTAACACCTCCCCCCCAGAGCAGAGCTATTGCTCCCAACACTCGCCTGACCCTCCAAAACCATCACCAGCACTACAGGAGGCCCACCAGAGCCTCTGCTCCTCTCAAAATAAGCAGCCCCAGCTGTGTGAAGTTAATCTGAATGCCCCTTTTATTGAACGCTGTGATAGTGCAGTGGTAACATTGAACAGAGTTAAGACTGCTTAAAACAAAAGCCGGAAGAGCAAGAAGTTTAGGGGGGGAAAAAAAAGGTAAAAAAAAAAGTTAGACCAGTTAAAACACCATCAGTCGCCCCAGAGCGGAGACGCACGGGGGTTTCAGTGTAGTGTTAAAGGTTAGACTTGAGCATGTCTCCTCCATGTGCCTAACACCCAAAACATGCCTTCTACTTAAGAGTCTGAGTGGAAACGAAAAGGTAGTCGGTCAGACGAGTGCACGTCGGGAAAGGACCAGCGCAGGTTTAGAGGAGTGAAGGAGCCGATGCTGCACCCAGCGCTGCGCTGCCCCACGCACCCTCTGGGCACCGGGCACCCCTAGGCTAACACCCCGCACGGCTGCACGGACAGAGCTCCTATGCCAGTTCATAAACATCTTCCATTTACTATTTGGTGATTACATGTGTGTATATATAGTTCTCTAGGCAACACATTTCAATGAGATAGTCAACTCTGAGGATACACAGGCCAATCTAACAATGAGAAATGCAGTTTCAGTCCAACAGAAGCTTGTTTTCCCTTTCCTCAAGAAAGGAGATGGAACCCTCTCTCCCCTCAACAGCATTTTCAGGTCACGCTGGGTTCCCCCGCTGCAGCTATTCTTCATCAGAGGAAGAGTTCTGATCCAGGGGATACACCATGAACATCACATCTGGCCGCGACGGGACAGAGGGGTGACCAGGCCTCACGATTTCAAAGCCCAAGAAGCTGAATGTCTTCAGAAGTGGAGCTACCAGAGAGAAGGAAATCTGTTACCACCAGGAATAATCCTCTTTACCTGCATCACCCTAGAAGCCACGAATATCACAGTGTGCTGAGCACCCTCTGTGAGTGATCCAGAGCTTCCTGCGCAGCACAAACCTGACAGCCCTCTCCAACAGGAGGTCTCGTCTCCTCCTGCACTCATCACAGCTGCTCCTAAGCGTGAAGGGGATTTTAGCTGTGCAGCAGACAGGTCTATCCTGTGATGTCTGTTCTGTCCCCTCTGTGAAACGGTGATGGTTGGTCATCGACCTGCACCGCTTTGCCAGGACGCACATGGCCATCCTACAGCATGTCTGAAGTTTTCATTCCTTACTTAGCGTTGGTCCCGGAGCTCAGTGGAAACTCGGAGCAGCTCAGCACAGCTCGGTGCAGCCACCCAGGAAAGCCACCATGGGTTACGCACAGAAATTCAGAGCGGGGTCAGTCCAGAAGCCCCCGTGCACCTCATCTCAGTCAGACAGGGTTATGTCACGCAGTGACTGGCTGCAGACTCGCTTGTGACTGAAGCTATAGCTTCCCTGTGACCCATGAGTGTTACTCTGGTGCAGCAGCTGATCTCCACAGCTCCCTCTGATGATCAGCTTCCAGCCACTGAATGATCACGGAGAGGAGCTCCTGTGTATTTTCAAGCTAATGCTGAATCTCAGCTGCACTGATGAGGACCCAGGATCTGGAGCACTCCAGAACTCGTACAAATAAGCTAGGTCCAAGAGCAACATGTAGCTCATCTTTAAAAACAAACCCCAGAATCAGACGTCTCCTGTAACCTGCCACTGCAGGGTCACCTACACAACCTGTGGTAGTGGTGACATTCTAGCAAGAACTTAATCTGAAAATTATCCTTGGCATCATAGCAGGGAATGACATCTTCCTGGGCTCAGCACAGCTTAGCTCTAATAACATGCTTCGTTTCAGAGAAGATAGCGCAGCTTGTGAAGCAGCGGAGTAAAATTAGAATTCAGGTTTGAATTACTCCTGCCATGGCAATCGCTTGGTTGCTAGCCTGCGTCTCCCAAGATTTAAAGTGACACATCCATAGCTTGGTACCTCACCACAAATCTGCACAAACTTCCGTGCTGTAATCACTCATCCGACACATCTATCTTTAGACCCTAATGCAGCCCCCTTAAGCCATAAGCATCTATAGCTAGGGTCAGGATTACCTGTAAGTCTAGGAAGGGCAAAGTGCTGGGAGATCTTTAAAAAGCAGATGAACATCAGGGCAACAAGCTCTAAGTGTTCATCTCCCACATCATAACCCCTCCCTGGTTTCTCCTTCCACATCACAGAAGCCTGGTGCCAAACAGAACTATCTTCCCTCCTTACCAGAGGAGAAATACTAACCAACTTCTGGGCAAGAAAATACACCAAGTTGCTCAGGAGCAGCTTTTCACTAGCAATAATTTAACTGCAGGGCAGCAAAGCGTACCTGCTGGAGAAACCAGAATACTCCCCCTCCCTTAGCCTCAAGAAAGGGCTTATTTCCTCCAGGAGAAACTATTTCTAATTTGTAAGAATGCCATGAGAATTATTCAGGTAACATTTACTGCAACAGGAGGCACTCCGTGAAGCCCTGCCTTGGGATTATCAGATTTCTGCCCAGCTTCAGCAGCACCGCTTCAGATCTAGGGAGCAAACCTGACAGGGGGGCGAGTTCTTACCTCTATCTTCTCTGCTTTTTCTGAAGCAAATAAAGACATAGTTTACTTTCATTTTTTCTTCAGCAAACTCCAGCAGTGCTGATAACCTGCCAAGGAGTAGGAAGACAAAAGAACATCAGCTATAGGAAGTCGTGTCCTGAGGAAGCCTCTGAGCATTATCAACTGTCTGGATGTTTTCAGGCAGAAAGAAGACTTGTTTACAGACCCCTTCCAGCGAACAATGGGTGCTGAAACAATGGGCTTCCTGCCGAAACAACCCAGCCCAGCAGAACCGAGAGCTGTCCTCACACCAAGTCACCCAACAAGTCACTGTCCTCGTGTATCAGCATGCACAGCCAGCCCAGCAATTTTGTAAGCGGGAAGCTGGATATTACAGCTGAACCCAAGCCAGGCATTGTCCCCTCCCCTGGCAACGCACACGAGGGGATCTGTAAGTTTTGCACTTTATGGGAAGGAGAAAAGGAAAAAAAAAAAGAAAAAAGAAAAGAGCTCACATCAGGCAGAAGAGAAGAGAAAAACAGCACTGAAGCAGCATGTGCACAGGCAAAGCTGTTTCCTGAATGCATCAGCTGGATGGCACAGCTGATGCAACCCAAATCCACGCTTCCTGCCTTTCCAGCTAAATTATCTCTGCCACCTCCTGATGGAAGCAGTGCCGCATTAACCCCTCCCTGAGCCCCAGGGGTCGGCACAGCGGAGCCACGGCTGTCACTGCTGGCCTTGTAACCATTTACAATGCAGACTGCTAGAGCAGTGACAAACAGGGCTTCCATCGTCATCTAATTAAACAGCAGTCAGAGACACGAGCGCAGCGAGGAAGATTAAACTTGCAAGGGTTTTGTTAATATGGTAATGAACTATTTTAATTATAGCCTCTACTAGGCTGTTTTACCTAGCTAAAAATAATCTGACAAAATTGTGCCTTAAGTCGGGATGACACAGGTGGGTAAATCCCCTCCCAGAAGAACCCACTCCAGGAAAAGCAGGCGCTTGAACAGCTAAAGGATTTACAGACTGAGGACGTTACGCAAACGTTTATCTGGACTTGGATCCAAATGAGGCAAGTGTGAGACAAGAATACTGGCACTTGCTGAAGGTGCCCAGTAAGGTTTTTTTTTAATTAGCTCGTGTCATTTGGGGAGGAAGCCTACTTGGAGATTTAGGAGGACTTCAGAGAGCTCTGCAGAGGAATCCGGCACAGCCACATCCACGCTGCAGTGCTCCCCGCCAGTGGAGATCTCTGGCAAAGCACTTGGCAGGAAGTAGCCGTTCTGGAAGCTGCGTTTACACAAACTTCCCAGAGCAAGGCTGTCTGGACAAAACACTGCCGTGTTCTGCCAACAGAGAAAAATCAAGAGATCCTGGCAGAGCCCAACGCCTGCGTGGCAGCGCTCCAAGAGCGGATCCACCTACTGATGAGAAGGAGCACATCAATATAATGGAGGGTTTTTTCCCCTGAAAGAGAGGAAAACGCCTGCCAAAATAAGCTTGCCAAGTGGCCAGCAGAACAAACCGAAAAAAGAAGTCGGATAAAGGATTATAGATTTTCCATACCAAAAAGTATGCAAAGAATCACTGTGCTCACTCAACGCTTTTCATTAGCACGGGGGCTCAAAACACAGTAATCCATCTCAAATTAAAGTATAGGGGGAAAAATATTTGTAGGGTACACAAACCAGGAAAGGAGCTGCCGTACATAGAGCCCATTCTCCCCACACGCAAAGCATCACCCAGGGAAGCAGAGTCTGCTCCCTGGCGAGCCACAGACACAGCTCTGGGATCCTGAACTCACCCTTCTTTGCTTCCATCAGCTAATAATCCATCAGGGATTTCCACAAAGAGGCTCTGGTTAGAGAGCACTGCATCCCAGGAGGAGGTCTTCACCTCTGTGACCTTGTAATGGAAGTGGACAATATGAGGCTTCCCTTCGTGCACTGGGACATCTTGGTTAACAGTGATCTTCTCGTCCTGTGCAGAGGAGGGAGGAGAGCACATGTAGCATGTGTTAGGGTTAGAGAAAACCATCTATGAGATTGCAGACCAAAAATGTAAGAGATTGTACTTAAACAAGCATGCAGAGGAACTGTTTTCAGTGGGAGCACCCTCCTGAAAAACCAGCCTTCACAGACTGGTGCATGTCCAGAGTTCCAGCCTATCGCCAAAATTCACCACTGTGAATCCACCACTGTGAAGGTGTGCACGGTCAGCTGCAAGTTCGTGGCTGAATCTCAGTGCTCTAAACAAGCCTGTAAGTGGTTAAGAACTATTGTTCCAAACTACCTCTAATACTTCGCTTTTATTAGAATAAAAATAAACACAAAAATAAAGAACAAAAAAATCAAGTCATATTCCCCTGGCTGTTTATAATGAGAGATGCAAATGCAAAATAAACTGTGTTGCAGTTTTTCTAGGAAGAACATGGTACTTTTCCCTTCCCCTTTCCCTGGCTCAGGGACACACCACAATGAGTACGCAGACCTCAGCGCAATTTTCTAGTCATGCCTTCCTGTTCAAGGAATGCAGCTCTGCGTATTTACATTATATTAAATTTCTGATTAGTGAGAGCCCATTCATTCCCCGCAGGTCCCAGCCACATCTTTGAAGGGCAGTTCATGAACTGCCCTTCAAAGAACACAATGTGAACTGACAAGCTGGAAGAGCATCTGCTGCTGCAGTCTGACCAGTTTCATCGTCTCCCCAATCCCCAACATGGTCTTTTTGTTTAAGGGATGACCACAAATTGCTGCCCCAGATTTTACAACCACCTAGCATGGCAAATGGTTTGCCTCCTGGTTTAAGGGAGGAATATACATAGCACAGAGAGAATCCCAAAACAGACAGAAGCTACAGAGATTGGAAGAGTGTGAGGAGGTCTCATCCAGAGACCACAAATGTACACATCCCTCTCCAGTACTGCTCCACCTAGAATGCCAAGCATGCAGACCGCCTCAGATTCAGCTCAGCAGTTCCTAGAAAACAATTCTGTGGTTAAACTCCATTCCTCTTCCTGACAATTTTTGCAGGCAGTTGGCTTGCCCAGTAACGATTAACCACATTTCACTGCGAAGAGCCCCAAAGAAACGACGGAGAAATTCATTGTGTTCCCGAGTTACCGCTGTCAACTGCAGCTGAAGCTGAACTCTTCCTGTCTGCTCGGTCGCAGGCTCACGCGCGCGGACTCTCACATTTACAAAGTCACCTGCGCTGCTCTGAAGGGCAGAAGTGAACCAGGTCATACAAGTCACGTCTGCTCTGCTCTCGAGTCACGGGGATGCTTGGGAAAGCTGTGTGCCCCTCTCATCAACAGGTGGGCTGGGAGGTGGTTTACTGCATCAGGTCATCATGTGAGCAACCATCCAACTCCCAGGCATCTTATTTTAACAGGGTGATTATTTCAGCAGCTCATTACAGGCTCTGATCTGCTGCCCATCGGCTGGACTGCCGACAAGTGACACAGCTGCAGAGACAGCACCTCAGCAGACAAGGTTTAATAAATGCTTTGTAGTGACAAATTCATCTCTGACCGTAACACACACAGGCTGCCAGCGCAGCAAAGGAAACTCAGTCCCGTTTAGATCTGCAGTGAAGCAGCATTTACAAGACGGGCAGGAAGACTCCTCCGTATCGCTGCCTTTCACAGAGATGCTTTCTTCTAAGTGTTTCAAACTCTTAAGGTAAAAGCACTGCTGAAAGACCAGCAGTTCAGCAAAAACATCTCCGAGAACCTTTCTAGGCTCTTCAAGCCTGTGTCCCAGTGCTTTAATTCCTATTACAACGTGTATTAAAATAGATCCTGCTTGGTTTCACTATTGTGACAGGGAAGAAGCCATCGAGTATGTTAATGCTGGCGACAAAGTAACGCTGCATGCAAATCAGGAACTGCCTGGCTTTGGTAACTGGAGCAGAGGAAGCTGCTGTTTGTTTAAAGCCCACAAAGCTTAGCTGAAAACCAAGTTTACACTTCATCAGAATAAATATCCTGTAGGAAATAAGTTTACTCATTGAGTTTGAAAGAATTGTTTGTAATTGCGCCTGCTGTCAGGTTTTACTACACTTCTAAGCCAAGTGCACTAAGAAACCTAACAGCAGCTGCTCAAGCAAAGTCAGGCTGCTGCTGCTAAAGCCACCACGGAGCCAGCAGCAAGGGTCAGATTTGAGCCCAGTGAGAGCTCCACACTAGAGATGTATTAAACAAAAACAACAAACCAATAACCAAAACCAAGGGGATTATATGCACATCCTTCACCAGTGGCTTTATAGGAGCCTTTTACAGTTGTGGTTACTGTGCAGAGAGCGTCTCTGTTTCAGAAAAGATCATTCCCTCAAGAAAAGCTCACAGATGCTTCTTTCCTTATACTTCATGGAAACAAAAACAGGGCGAGGAAGTTGAGAAAAGCAGGCTGAGATTGACACATTGGAGGGGGAGGCACATGCATGCATTTCTGCAGGAAGACTGGCAGAAGCCTGCAATAGGAAGGGAAAAGCTTCCCGAGCCTTCTGGCTTAGCCCTGCTGTCACCAGAAGTTATGCCCTGCACTCCAAACCTAGCAAGGTTTTTTCACTTAAGAGCCCCCTAATGCGACAGCCCATGAACCAAAGGCAGCGCAACCGCAGAGATTAAGAGAACCAGTTCCCCCGGTTCAGTAGGAATTACGGCTACACAGCCTGTCTTGGGCAGCTGATATTTTATTTCTAGGGATCAAAATAGAGACAGCAAGATGCCGGGGAGAGAAGCTGTTCTTGTGAAGCAGCAGCCCAGAATTCTTTGGAAGCCGCTCAAAGCAAAATCCTGTTTACGCAATAAACGTTCGGTTTTCGTTCACTCTCCACCACGCTATCGTGGGCAAAAGAGAACCAAACCACCAGGCTCTCTTTCATACGCAGCTGCCTAAACCTTTGGCTCTGGGCTCCACTTCAGCAATGCAAAGCCGCAAGGACCAGCTTCCACTTGGTTACAATTCATTAAGCACAAGATTTTCCAACTCCTCAGACGTCCCGAGAAGGACAGGGGGAGGCCCCTACGCACTGGCAGCGTAAGAAGAAAGGATGTTATGGTCTACCCTGGCCAAGCCACTGGAGAAACCCGTGTAAGCAGTGAGCTGCTGGCATGTGCTATACCTGCAGCCTCCTGCCAAGTCTGCTCGCCAGGGCACGTCCCTTTGCACAAAGCCTGGCCCTGCTGCACAGCACCAGTGCCGATCACTGCTGCATCCCCAGCTCAAGCAAAACTCCCCCAATGAAAGGCCGAGTATTAAGTCTCTTAACACAGAAATACCAGCAACTATAGGGAGCCCCAGCTGCTTAATTTATAATGCTGCTGCATACGAGGACTGCGCTGCATGCTCCGAAGGAGGCTCCTTCGGAAAGGTCATCCCTTGAACTAGAACAGCTGATACAGCTGGAAAAAGTACTTAAGCTTTTGGGTCCAGATGCCTTTCCAGGTCACACTGAAGTTTGCTGGCTGAAAAGCTCAGCCTGCTGTAACGACAGCACCGCTCACTTGAATGGGTGACTGAGAGGGGCAGAGAGTCCCAGTAACCCCTATCTGAGGTTGGGATTTAAACCCAAGGCAGCCCCACTCTGCTCTGGGACGAGCTCCGTTACAGAAGGGGCTGATTCTCTGACAGACTCTGCTCTGTTTTGCCAGACATAAACCCAGAACTATATCCATATTTCTGGGATGCAGCAATCTAGATGACATCCCCACAGGCAGCAATCCCTGCCGGCGCAACACTGCCAAAAGCTTCTGTGCTAATTTGAGGCCACTCTGAACTCAAACACTTCAAAATCTCCAAACTGATTCTTTCCAACAGCATCTCTGCCACGTTGAGCCCATTTTCTGCCTCTAGACCTTGTCTGGTGCATACGAAAGGCTTGGCAAAGCTGCCCTGCAGGAGCTCAAGTTGCAAGGTCCTCTGCTTCTCATTCTCTCCCACCCAGAGAAAATTCATTATTTGTCCCGAGCCCTCTTGAAGCCATTTATGCATCTTTTTATCTGACAGGAGGACCACTGTGCTCTTTGCTACCTCTCTGCCGCTTCTCTGGATCTCAAACTCCCTAACATCTGTGACAATTCAGTGCAACAGAATTAAGCTGATGTTACATTATTGAGAGGCTACAGAGGTGGATATTTAATCACAAGGTAAGTGGGCGAGGCACACACCAAAAATTCACTAAGGCTGCATTAAAGATAACTCCTCTGAAAGCAGCCACGAGGTCTGTGATTCACGAATTTCAAGAGGAGACTCTGCCAGCTGTGACACAAAACGTTGCAGTCAAGAGCCTGTATCTTCTCATCACAAAGTCTGGGTGCCTCCCACAAGGTAATTAAAAATCAAGTCTAACACCTATGACAACACTCCTGCCTGAACAGCCAAATTTGCAAGCTTAGCATAAATTTGGGTTTCTTCATCTGATAGCACTTCTCTGGCTTGTGGAAAAGCAGCCCCTGTCCCAGAAGGGAGACAGATGTGTGCCACCATAACACAACACAAAGCTGCCCAAGTGCCAATGACTCTACAGCGAGGAACATCCAAGGCTCTTCATTCGAAAGGAAAGGTCCCATAGAATGAAAACGGACAATAAATGAGAGCCGCAGAGATCTGCATGTTCCTACGCAAGTTTGCAGACACAAAGCCTTCCAGAGCCGCTCCTGTCTGAGGCTGACGGTCACCTCGCCCTTTGGTGAGGGCAGGAGTTACTCTGTGCATCAGATCAGGCAGCTCCCAGGCCCCAGCAGCTTTACCTTCCGGACCAGGGCACAGGAAGGGGCTTATCAGCCCTTCTCTCTCTGCTTTTCACCTTTCTGCTTCCTGCTTCCTCTTTTTGCGAGACATTTAAGAAGTTGTTTCATGCTTTGATGAGGCTGGCTCTGCAAACAATAGCCAAAACAAGCCTCTGGGAACAGGGCTGGTGAATTATTTGTTGCACACCTCTGAGGAAAGGTCTCTTGTTTCTGAATAAGCAGGTGATATTTAAGCAGGGGACTGCTGCACGCAGCTCAGTAATCTGTCAACAGGGTTGCTGAAAAATTAACTGTTCTCCTGCTTATTACCTCAGAGTTATGTGCATTTATTCCCATCAGACTGAGAAAGGAACCAAACACAGTTGCAACACGGTCACGATTTAGATGATAGGTCTTTCTCACCTTATATATCAGAGCTGAAAGAGAAGGATCCCTGCTACCCCCTCGCCCACCGGGGATCTTCGACAGTGGGTGAGGGGCATCAGGAGCACCACAGAGGCCCTGGAACGATGTGCCTGCAGCACTGCAGCTGGGGACAGTTACTCAAAGGTAAAATACTACTGCAAGAAAAAGAGAGAACACCAGGTTACATCGGCGGGGATCACATTTCAGATGCTACAGCTCTTCATAATCCCAAGCCAACGTCAGAGGCAGCGATCAAGCCTTTCGTGCCCAGAAATCTACATTAAAAACACTTGCTGCCCAGGTCATGCAGTGTTTTGTTAGAAATGGAGGAGGGGCTTTGCAGCCAGGAACCCTGAGAGTGCTGAGCAACCTCCTGCTAATAAGGGACGCCTGGAGGGCTGCCAATAGCAGATGGCTGGGAACGCATGACCAGATGAGCACACATTTTCTATAGACAAATATCTACAAATAGATCAACAGGACCCAGAAGGAGGAGGTTTAAGTTTCACATTTTCAAAACGCGGAGGACTGAAAGGGCTGGTTCTTCAGATATTTTCAACGCGCTCTACAACGCTGAGTTGACATTTTCACATGCAAATGAAACACCATGCAAGCGTCCTTCACCCCAACCCAAAAAATTACAAGTTTACCCCACAGATCTACTTTTAAGAGCAAGAAAATAAGTTTCCCCTTATTTTCTTAAGTTTGTTTGGATGTCCTACACGTGGTCTTTCGGGATCACTTTGAACGCAGGCTTTAATATCTGCTCTAGCTTTTTAGATGTTCATGAAAGCAAATTACTTTAGTTCTGGAGCACTGCTTCTTTTATCAGTACCACAAAAGCTCTTTGCTGAGGCATAGCATAGTAGCAGTATTCCTCCAACAAAAGAGAAAAGCAACGCAGAGAAACCAGTCATTCCCCAGTGTTCCCATTATGAAACACGCTAGCACAAAGCTATGTAAACACCACCAAAATAAAGGGAAGTGCGAGGGTTTTCAATAAGCACATGAAGCGAGGAACAAGGCGATAAGAGACAGTCTCTGTAGATGCATCGACAACTTACTGTCTGGCCTAAAACTTTGCATTTGAGCTGTTCTCAAGACAGCGTTTTTCCACTCTAATCTCTCTTCACTAGGGAGACAGCCTGATGTACCCAAAAACCAGGCCCCGAGCTGCAGCACCAGAGTCACCTGAACCGCCTATACAGTACATGGGAACACATACCAGACTGCAAACAAACTACTGAAATCTGGCATTTCTGTATGCCAAAAAAAAAATGACTCGCGAATGGAGTGACGACACAGGCAGCATTTGCAAAGAACTGGGCTTGCCATCTCGTACCAAAATAATCTTTCTACAGGAAACACAAATATTCTTGCTCTGCATATTTCCTCCTCCTCCAGGTTCTCTAGACAGGGCCCTTCAGCAGATACTGCTTGGAGAAAAGGCCATTTAAACACAGCAGGAAAAGATATGAAGCAGTTGCAGTGAAGAAGTCTCAGGGCAAACCCCCTGGCGCACACGCTCAGTGGTGGTTTGTGTTAGCACAGTCCCTCCTCACGGTATGACTGGGTCCATCAATGGACCAGTGTGTATTCAGCAGTAGTGGATGTGGAGAGGCATGACAAAGCACTTTGCTGTGCCATTCCCCACCCCCAGAAAGCTGCTGGCAGCTTTGTTATTCCCTTCCCTCCTCCCTCACCCCCCCCAGTCGACAATGTACTATTGATAGCTCCCTCCAACTTGCGGCCAAGGCATCAAGAAGCTGGATAATGAAGTGTCGGTTGTGGGAAATAAAAAAAAAAAGAAGAGCGGCAGTAGTTTTCATGCAAAGCAGTTCAAGACACTTCCAGTTTTGCTTCCTCTGGCACACGCAGAAGTCAAAACACAAGACCCCTTCAGCCGCTGAGCCCTGCCTACAGCACTGGGGCTTTGCCTATCCTGGACCTGCACACCACTGCTATGGTCCCCATAAACTTCCCTATCCTCCCCCAAAACTTCGCAGCAACAGCCAGCCAGGGTCCCCAAGAGCAGCATGATCAGGCAATGCTGGGGAGTGTGCGTATGGGGCAGAGATTAAAAGGGGGTCTGCTTCCTCCAGATGCCCGTTAGCACCACGGGAGTAAGTTTGTGCAAGCACCTAAGTCTGATCCCTTGGTGCATCCACGTGCAAGCAGCCCACTGCAGCTCTGCTCCCCAAGGCCTGTTTATAGCTTAAAAATTCAGATTGTGCTCCCTTCCAGCCTCTCTTCTCTTCTGAGAAGCTGTTTTCCAGCAGCGTGGCTAAGAGCAAGATGCATTTAGATCACCAAGGGCCTTTCCCTGAAGAAATTCACCAAGCAAAAGCTTCTTGAGCAAGTCCTGCCTGAAACGGGAGCTGGACGCCACCGTACGCTGCCAGCCAGCGGGTATAATTTTAACTCGCTAAGCTTCCAGTGATCTCAACCCTGTGCCCTGTCCCTGGGAAGCGCAAAGGACAACTCCTCAACTTTTGAGCCCCGTCACGGCTGCTCTTCAACAACCCTCGCACCCCAAGCCTCAGGCCAACGCTGCCTTCAGTCACAAAAACAACCAGCACCTTGGGCTCTAAAAGCCACACATTTTCCAGTTTTTTGAGGTTTTTGTTTGTGCTGAACACTTGGGTCAGATGGAAGGAGACACACAGCTTCTTTGCATTACAGAAATGAAGTTTGTTCGCTTTCCTTTTTGCCCCTTTCCAAAACAGGCTCTGAAGGTGCGGTTGCACTTGGCCTGTAATAATCAGATATTACATTGTCAGCCATTGCAAGCCAGATATTGGGGAACCTGATTTATGGAGTAACTTGCAAATAACCATCTGATGAATGCAGCAGAGCTCAAGGATCTACACTGCACGCAGCAGCCAAGAAATGAGGCTCGTTGATACACATCCTCCGGGTGCTTATCTATGAGAAAGGGTCAGGAAACGACACTTTTAGACTCTAAACAAGGAACAGACACACAAGATAATTCGGTCAGCTGAGAAAAACACCCACAAACGGTGTAAGTTCGTGTCTGCCGGTAACAACCCTGCCAGGGAAAATCACCTTTCCTGAGGGCTGCGGGGAGGGCGGGCACAAGCTCCCTTGGGCCATGCAGGTTTTTACTAGCAAGAGGCTGCTCAGACACTCGCTGCCGAGGTGCCGCCTCCCATCCCCCGATCCCCGGGACCCATCCTGAGGGTCTCCGCTCACGGAGAAGGGTCACCCCCCTGGGGATTTAAGCGGGGAGGGGCAGAGGGGGGAAGCGGGCTCTGCGCTTCAGCGCCTGCCCGCTCTGAGGGGCGAGGAAGGCCGCGGCGGGGCGGGCCCGGCGGTGGTGGGAG